AGAGGACCCAGAGCAAACTGGGTCCTTCAGTACTGCATAATAAATGAGAACCTGACAGAGAAGCCATGGCATTCTTCCTCTGAAATCATAGTTGTATCAAATTTGAGTGGCAGATGGGTGTCAAATTTATATTGAGTGTTGATGTATTTTATAGTCGTAATTTTATTCTGTTCACTTAATTTTTAAAATATGTATGAATTCAAAACTCTTTTTAGAAAAGATAAGTACATTAATATGTTTTGCATGTGAGCTATCTATCCACTGAATCTGGAGCATTTACTGAGTATTGAAACTTCTATGGCCAAAAATATATAAGCTTTTTGTGTCTTCTCACAGGATAATGTCTGATCCCTTATAAGAAGGTCTGCTGTTTAAGCATCACCTGGGTCTGTTCTCTTAGGTTATTATTAGCAGCTAATATCCCACTGTAGCAGAGTACTTGAGCTGTTATAGTGGAAGTGAAGTCTCCAGGGCTTGACATGCCATGTTGTGACATTTCTGTGTCACTCAAAGATGGCCATAGTCAATTTCTTTTTGTTTAAGTGAAGGTTATATCCTTGATTCTTGCACCATTCAATACAATGTTTTTGTTTATTTTTTTCCAAGTAGGCTCATAAAAGAAGGGATGCCTACCAAAACTTATTTGTTTTGGATTGATCATAGAGAATTATGTAGCTGAAGCTCATTTGATCCCTTTAGTCTCTCATCTCCCCTACTGCTGCATCAGGGAGCCCTTGCCCTGACCCTAGCAAGCACTGTGGCTGAGTTATCAAAAAAGCTCACATTGTCGACCTCAATTTACTTACTGATCTCTATGAAGAAATTAGCATTCTGCAAGATGATACAGGACAGGAGCCCTCAAAGCTGTACTACTGAACCCAACACCACCACTGGTTATTAGGTGTATCCCAAATGCATTAGAAAAAAAGGCTGTTGGTTTCTCACTTGGGTCCCGATAGCTCCCGGATTCCTATGACAGAGTCCCTGTGGTACTTATGTATCCGCTGGCAATTACATGCTGGGATTTTTTTCCTCTACCAATAGTGTCTGCACTTGATTCCATGGGAATATTTTCCTGTTCAGCTTTTCCCACTCTGGCTCTTCAGCCCATGCTATATGTGATTTACTGCTACTTCTGTCTTACACTGACAGAATCAAGTAGGGCCTATTTCTGCATTGTATAACTGTCATGATAGCTGTAAAGAGGATCATCTTTGTGAGCCATTTAAGCCATTGGTTGCAGGCAGAATGTTCATCTCATCAATTTGATCAAGACTGAAACTATTTGGTATGCTCTTCCCCATTTCATATGTGATCCAAAAAGCAAAGACTACATGTGCAAAGATTAGGAAGAGATGGTGATCAGTGGCTCCCGGTTCTTACGTGCGAGTAGGGAAGTTGAGAATAACGAATGTGAGTGACAGCTACCCAAGGGAAAGGGAACTACACACCTGTATTTTTTTGTGATTTGAGGAAAAAGATGATGTTCTTAGGTCAACTAGGTAGCTAATTTTTGATTCAGAAATATGAGACAAAATAGCTTGAGAAAAGAATGTTCTTCCAACGCAGAACTAACCTTTTTCCCTCCTTGGTCATTAACAGCCCATCAGAAGATTTCAGGAAGTCATCCTGGAACACAATGAGCTGGTGATGATTTTAAGTTTCCCTCAGCATGTAATAGCTCCTAGTAATTCGTAAGTGTATATGCTTCAAAAACAATGATATTGGCTGGTTTGCCGGTTTAAACTGCAGTATTCTGTGCAAGACGCTGCAACTAGTAAGTGCAGAAATACACTGCACTAGTACATGAGTATTAATGTGTACAATGTGTTTATTAAACTTATCCAATATACACTGATAATACACACCAAATTAGCTACTAAAATTTAGTGTGAGTTGGGTGTGCATGTCTTTCAGGTCTTATTTTTAGATACCTTCTCTTTCAGAGTTTTTTTGCTACGTTTCTGAGACATTCTCATAACAAGCACATGAAATAGGAGGATCAGGTACAAACTGCATTTGGTGCTGGATTTAGGAGAAGGCTGGCAATAGGGACTTCTAAGAACTTCTAACAGGAGACCTTCAGCAAGCACATGCTGTCTTTCTGTTTAGAAATGGCAGGCGGCGTCGCCTTCTCTGTTAGGTAAGGGTATAGCAGTTGAATCTTTGTGACGACTGGTAAGAGAAAGGACTAACCGCAGCCCTCCCAAAAGTGTGGTGGCTTTCCTCTGCAATCAAAGAATTACCTCTTCCTTGATCGTCCAATGCATGTAGTTTTGCCTGATAAAGAAGGTTGTAAAGTTGCAGTCTAATCAAGTAACAGTTTCCTATGTCTTGCTTTTCTTCCTTTTTGACCTGGAATAAACAAACACAAATAATCACTGGCTAAAAATGAAAAAAATAAAAAAGGCAGATAAATTGTTATAGCTGTCTCTTTGCTTTCACAAGGCTATGCTTCCTTTTCTCTTATCAATCTGACTTTCGGAAAGATTTTGGATCCTAGAGATGTTAGAACCTGCCTCCACCCCCATCACACTTAAGTCATTTTTCAGATACAACTGTATGATCCTCCACATTTATACAATGGTACTGATGATTTTGGTCAAATCAGGTAAAGTGGTGGCTGGCCAGTTTAAGGAAAGTTTGTTTGCTGTGACATGTAATTTATTTCACTTTGAAACAGCAGTAAGCTGTAGAGTAGAAGACCGTTTCTAGAGTACTAACTGTGTACCCGCATGGGACACTTTCTACATAGTGCTAAGTAGCTGGAGCTCTGTAAATTTACTCCCTAACTTGCTGTGCACTAACTTTCCTATTGAGACAAGCCTTGTGATAGTTTCTGAATGCTATTTTCTATAGTACATTTTTAAAAATCAATATTTTCATACATATTGCAGAACTGGACCACATTTGGGGCCTGATGTAATCATAGGGAAGTCATTATAGATGACATGTTCGTAACAAGTCTATGTTCTGTTGAAGCAGACTGGTTGAAGGTCTGAGTAAAACAGCCTTTTGAGAGGTACAACAACATTTCTCAGTGCTTAAGATGCGTTCTTACAGCATTTGGGAGGAGAATTAAAATGTTGATAAGACTCTTTAAGGCTCCACCTTCCTCTAGAGCTCTGAGATGTCACCCTCTGTTAAACAGAATCACTGTTGATTCTTTTGGTTTCCTGAAGATCGTCTTGAGAGATTAGTTATTCTTATATAAGATTTCATAATGGAGATTTGGAACTTTGCATTCTATGGCATTTTCCTCTCTTCAGCTGAATTTTTCTGTATTCCTTCTTTCTTGATTAAAAAAAAAAAAGGAAGACAAGTATTTTCACAGTTACAAAAAAGAGAAGAATCTGTTTTGCACATCTTCGTATATGAAGTGAAATCTAGAGCTCAGGCTGAAAATGCCAGTATTGTGTTATAGCTGAGTGAAGCTCGTCTTTTTACAGTAGATGCTATTTTGTCCTAAACATGTGATCGCCTGCTTTGTCCTGTCCTCTGAAAGTCCTAGAAATGAAATATGCCCCACAGGAGGGTAACTGATTAAAAAAACTAAATCTGTGGAAAGGCTTCAGTATGAAGAAATATAGAACTGACATCACTAAAGATAAGATACTGGGGTAGGCAGACCCCTAATTTTATCTGGGATGGAAAGTTCTGCATGAACATTACCTGGCCAATGGTGAATATTTTTCACTTAGAATATATGATTACACTGATTTTAAAAAATACAAAATGGAAACAAAAGGCAAGACACAATAGTTCAGAATTATCATAATGTTGTTCAGGTAGCAATTGCACAGAATTGGAAGTTAAGAGTATTCAGTGAAAAGGATTTGTGTGTGTGATATTTCAAAGAAATCAAGATTGTATATGGTATTGATAATTGCTACTTTTGCATCAAAAATCTGGACTGAGGTGTTCCTTTTGGAGTTTCTGATGCAAAAAATCATTCACATCTCCATTGTAAAAGTCTCTTTTAGAGCAGTGTTTTCAAAGATGCAGCCTATATGCTGAAAAGCAGTTACTAGAGCATCAACAAAGAATGTCTGGTTTTAGAAATATTGTATGTATTGCCATTTATACAAAAGGAAGCTGAAAGGCACATTAACTTTAGTGCAGCAAACATAGTGATAGAGACACTAGTTGCGAAATGCTGTTTTTATAAGTATAATTCATTATACTTTCTTTGATCCAGTGTTACAAATTAGGGTCACTTGTGTCAGGAGATTAAAACCTTTTTGTCTCTCTTTGATATCAAACTATTCTTTTTCAGTCCCTTTTATCTTGCAGAACAGCGCTGTGCAGCAGAGCTACAGCATCTTTGTCAGTTCATTCGTGTTATTTGCAGCAATCGTTTAATTGGTTTGAATCCTAATATTATTTAGTCATACTGTCCTTTTTAACAGCAGAGGCTCTTTAATATCCTAAAAATGTTGAGAGGCTCTAGTGTTAGCTGGGTAAGCATATATATAAGAGATACCACAAAGAATTTTGGGACCATGGTGGGAGTGCAAGGTAGCTAAATTGGATAGAAAAAGAAGAAACCCATACAAGTCAAAGTGAGATTGTACATCAGAAAAACTACAGCAATCTACTGAAAATTAGTAGATGATAGTCATGAGTAGCTTACAGTGAACCACAGGTACCAGCTTCCCTGAAGCACAGAAATAGGAACTTGGAGAAACTTGTAAAAGGTGTCCTCAGGGAATCTTCCATTTTTTCACTATGATACCTTTAATCCTAGAATTGTCAAGCCACATGGAAAATAATGGGACTGAATAGTTCAGTCAGTTAAAAGTTAGTATTATTTCTTTTATCAAAAATATTAGGTCCTTCTGTATTTCTAGAGCGGTTAGGTTTTGTATAAACTTTAAAACAAGTGAAGTCAAGTATTAAATTTGTATTACTCTTTCTCTTTTAATTTAGGATCATTATCTGTGACTAACCAGACACTATTCAATAGAAAGAAAGAACTTAAAGCCCATATTTTTTAACAGATGATTCAACGAGAGGCAGAAGTAAAGAATAAGGTAACTGCTGTGGCGTTGACAGACTCTGTTCACAATGTGTGGCATCAAGAAGCTGGCAAAACTATTCGAGAGTGGATGCGAGAGGTGAGACTGAATTTTTTTGAAGAGTTGGGGTATATGCATCTGTATAAGACCCTATAAACATTACTTTATCTGCCGACCTCCTCCGTTTCTTTGGATATGAAAGAGCACAGTTACAGAACAGTGGAAATTGTGTGTCTATACCTGCCTCTAAATTAGAGATTAAAACTGTTTTTGAGCTTCAAAATTACCAGTCAAAAATAATAAGAATCAACTCCAGTGTTTCTTTTTTGTGTACAGCAATATAGAAATATATAACATAATTAATAACGTAAGCATGGTCTGATAACTGGAGCAAAGTCCTAGGGGCACTCTGTGCTCCGGAGTTCTGCTCCTGACTTACTGGGTGATGGTGGAAAAGACCCTTCCAGTTCTTTGTGACTCAGTTTGCTGATTTGTACGACTGGCAAAGAATTTTTTTCTGTCAGCAGTTTTATGAGATGTAATTGCTTCTAAAGTGCTCTGAGATTTTCTGATGAAAAGGCAGCATATTCTTATTACTACTGTACAAGAGGAATGGCTGGTTGGTCCAAGATTATCTGATGTCAACTGATATGGCTAGCAAGCACACTTTTCCACTCTTGGGTGAAGTATGATGGAATGCATTCATTATTCATTTTAATGCTTAAGTATGGGATTTATGAGATGAAAAAACAGAATTTGTAAATTGAGACCAGCTACACTTTTTTTTATGAGTCTCTTTTCCAGGTCAAATAAAGCTCATATTTGTGTTTTCTACATTCCCATTTCAGAATGTTAAAACAATAGGTATATGGGGCACATATAAAATAGTTTATCCTGAACTTTCAGTTAGATATCAGCTTTTCCCATGGATTTAGTGAAACATTGTGTATAGACAGTCTATTCCTGAGTTAACCTTACAGTTTTATAGGCCATGACTGATGGGAATAGAGAATCACCTGGGATGCAGTCTGACAGCTCTGGCTTAAATGTTAAGAATATAAAGAATGGTAACCCCTACAGGCTCTGTCAGAAAAATCCCCATTTTCTTTATGGGAAATCAAAACCTTAAAATATATGTTATGTAGTAAAACTGAAAATTTTAAATCCTGTAATTTGAATCTGACAACTCCATTTTTCTTTAAGCATTTATTCTGAATAAGACAAGTGCATTACCTTTAATTTCATTTGCAGAAAGTAGATCTTAAAGAATAAGTTAAATGATTAATGGCCTAAAAAGTGGATGGAGTGTCATAACTTACATTAGCATGGAAAATCTCCTATAAGAAAGAAGAATTTTACATATGTGAAGTGTGGCTGAGTGGTATTAAGACTAGCATATCACCTGGATATCTCTTACTTTAATCGGGTTTAAGGCTACTGGTAAAATGAATAATAATTAAAATATACACCTAATCGCTGCCTGTCTGTAAGGCTAATTGCTGTCATTGAAAGAATGAATTGTTAAAAAAGTAATTCTTCATTGAAGCTCTCTCTCCTGTATCATTGGTGGCCTATTTTTAGTACCTATAGAAGTCATGATTTTTGAATTTATTAGGAGCTGTGATGAATGATAAAACAAATCATCCATTTACATATCTTGACACTGCTTTCGAGCATACTTATTTCTTACAGGCAAGTGTCACATTGTATATAAAAGCTGGTTAATTGTGTGCTAATCTTCTGTATTATCTCGAGCTCTCTGATGTAGCATTCTATCAGTAGTTAATATTAATTTTACTTATTTCAAATGAATGTAATACTTCATAAAAATTCTACTTTTATAATTTCTACCATCTTACATTTGCAATTTCACATTCAGCTGTTAATTAAAATTATACATGCAAATTGTAAAATGTATAGCTACTTTAAACCTTAAAGCCTTTGTGAAACATAGAAATACTAAAATTTTAACCATTTTTTTTACTAAAAAGTTACATTACTGGATAGTGTGTTTGTTTTCATGTTTTTTTTTCCATCCAGTTCAATAGTTTCATTGATCTGCTGTTTCTTACAAAAATCTGCCATGCTTTGTGAACTTCACTTTCTAATCTCATACAGCAACCCTTCCTTTATGTTGTTCCTGCTCTCCCTGGTCCCAGAACAGTAGGGTTGCCTTGACAAATCTATTCAAAAGCCATTCCTCGGCCTTTATTGGTGGGGACTGAGGCCTTTGAAATTCTCTCCTCACTGCAACACAGCTGACATCTTCTTCCAGACAGAATGAATTAAGGAAATACAATAAGACACTTGATCTACCAGTCAAGGATCTTTCCACAGTGAGGACGGATTCCATGGTGCACAACGAGGGCGGCAAGCATCTACAAATACACAATACATGCTTGTTTACCAGAATAGCAATCAGCTATTTTTACAATCAAGATTGATGGGATGATTTTTTAGAAATCTGTCTGAAAATTCATTGGGTCTTTCCAAAAAAGTTATGTGATTTTTTTTTTTTTTTAATAAAGTTAGTCAGGTTTCCTGAAAGAGAAAACTCAGATTTGTAATAAGTAAAGCCATGTAGATCTTGTAGTTCAGCTGGCAATCCTATTAAAAATGTATTTGCTTTATAATTAAATCTTCAGTTCAATAGATTTGGAATGGTTTCAGCATCTTTTATTAAAGGTGTATTATTTAATGCTTTAATTCATGGTCTTCTCCGAATAGATTCCATATGGATTAAAATATTTTAAAACTTCATCCTATTCAGAGATTTGGGAACAAAAGGTAAATTTAAATGCTTCCATAGTTCCCTAAAGACCAATATTTACATTTTTCAATGTCCGTACCAATTCATCTTAGGTATAGTGGCAGTTATTTGAATATTAATCTGCTATCTTGTTTACTTTCACTCTGTTAAAATTTACTGTTTTGTAATTTTACAGCCATTCTCTCCACAGCATATTTCATCCAGATACCCTGAAAATTATGACCTCTTAATGTTTACAGGCAAGCGGGCTGAGTATTTATTAAAATACTTGTACAAAGCTTAAAATGTCCATGTTGGTCCCATCATCTGCTTAAGTCCAATCACACGCAAAGCAGCACTTAAATGCATGCTATTTAAGCACGTTACCAATTTTGTCCCGAATTACAGTCTTACTCTTTTGTCTTATTTCATATGAAACTGCAATATTTAAGCATCAGTTAGTATCAATAAGCCAATGTCGTTTACTTTTCAGTCCCCATTGGGACTGTGATTTAAATTAGGTGCAAGGTTGTATTTTGATGTGATCATTGTTTTTTCTTACAAAGTCTGTGTTTATTTTTGCTTTAAGTTATTGACTTACCAGAAAATTGTCTGTCTGATATTACAGAACTGCTGTAACTGGGTGTCTAGTTCAGAACCACTAGATACATCAGTAGAGTCCATGTTGCCAGACTGCCCCCGTGTCTCTGCAGGTATGCATTTTCCTTAGTAGCAAGTGTGCCTATGTGTTTGTGCCCATGAGTAGCTTGCTTATTTAACAGTACAGTTGTTTTTTTATTTGATTTTAAGACCTGTATGGCTGAATATGGCTGAAAGCATATGACTGACTGAATGCTGTTATTTTATACATTTTACTCCTTATTTTCCACTTTGTCTAGGATTCAAATTCTGTTGTTGGCTTATAGCTTATATTTTATAGTCTTCTCTTCTCTCTGAGTTTAATTAATTAATGACTTATTATAAGTAGAAGCTTAAGAAAAATAGCAGAGATCATGAAAACTGGGAAATTCATGATTTATCACTCAATAGGTATCTAACTTTATGTAGACCAGAGATATCTAACTTTATGTAGATAAGAAGATTTTAAGATAATATGTTAATGAAAGGTACAAGTGAGTGAAATAAGACACTTTCCTGAATTTTGATCAACATAAATCTAGTTTACATAGCAAATTCTTTACAATTTCCAAGAATTTTGGTGCGAGATATCTGTTGGTTTGGATATACTCAGCTACTGTCTCATTTGTGAATCCTAAATCACAAGGAACACATGAAATAATATACAGAGCACTTTGTTAGTGTGTAATAACAAACATACTAGTAACAACCCAGAAAGTGCATGTAATTGTCAATGTAACAGGAAAATCTCAAATCTCTGTGGTAAGGCGATCCAAAATACAGAAAGCTATTACTGAACTTCTGTGTTTTATTATTAGATTTCCTGAAAGCCATAGGTAGCATATTTCCATACCTATATATTTTTTCCATAAAATCAGGTTCAAAGGAACATACTGTCCATGCAATATTAATTTAAAAGCTGGGATGCTGTTTGACCTCACTCTCTGAGATGCAGTTGTTCATTTGACAGGTGATTTGACAAGAGATTCATATCTGTCTGGATATGTGAGGCTATTAATGAGACCTAACCCTGGAGATGAACTTTAGTTTACTGCGGAATGTTTTAAGGATATTTAAGGGAGTTGTGCTTTACTTGAGAGCACGCAATGACCAGAGACCTGTAATCACATTGGTACTGTGGAGATGGGACCTAACCATGCAGATCATCTCTTATGTCCAGACTCAATGACATGGCATTCTTCAGTGGTTAGGGAAGTGAAATGTTACTCAAAGTTTCATAGACTCCAAATTCATATACGAATTTTCTGCTGCCTTAGGGAAGACTACTACAATTTAAAAGAAAATATTACTCCATAATAGAATTCTTCAAAACAGAATTAACTTTCCTGTGTGTGTGTGTGTGTGTGTGTGTGTATGTGTTCACACGTGCCAGTTGTGGAATAGTACATATTATAGAGGTCATTTTGGTCAGGTAGATAGGTGCTCGGATAGCAACCAGTCAATATTTACAGTACAATTGCCAGTACTAGAAGTCCTCACTTTGAACTTCTGTTTTGTTTCTTTGTGGTCATTCTATGAAAATAATGTAAAAGATAGGATATAAAAGAAGTCCTAACTGTTATTTGAAAAACAGACTGACACTTTAATAGAAGTATGAATAAGTCTGAATTTTACATTTCTATTGAGGAAGGGTCATAGTGGGCAAAATGTTTATATTCCACTTAATGAAGTCCCAGCTCTACTGAAGACATTGGGAAAAATAATAATTTAATTAGGGTAGGATTTTAGCCAGTAATGATGGCAAAAGTAGGCTATTTTTAATTAATGCATGCATACAATGTCACTAGATTCAGATTGCTGATGTTTTAGAAGTTATTGTAACAGAGTTAGATAATGATTTAAATGTAAGTTAGATAATATCATCTTAGTTCTTTATAACTAAAGACAGTTTTAAATAGTATAGCTTTGTATGACTATTGCTGCATTACCAGTATACTCATGTTTTTGTGCCTATTTCTTGTATTCATCTGTTATATGGGCAACTGTAAGACATTTAAAGAGGAAGAAGTGAATAATTCCTACAGTGTTTTTATATGAACAATGGCCTATCTCTGCATTATAGCTATGTGTAATAAATTTATGAAATGAGCTAGATGTAGGAGCATTAGTGTTTAATGTGAGAGATTTTATTTCACTTATTTTCTGAGAACTGCAGTACTGAAATAGCCCACACTAACATACTGGCAGCATTGCCCTTGGTATTTAAATGAATAACAGTGAGAGCAATGAGAGCAACAAAAGGAGATTTTTTAAAATAAATCCTTTGCAGATTCTCTTCTCTTTCTACTTGTAGTCCCAGCTCTTATTTGTGTTAGTACTGGGAAGTAAGTTGAGGAGTAACTGCCTCTTGGTCAAGTCTTTTGAGCCAGTATTTCCATAAAGGGTCTGATCTTCAGCCATTCAGCATTTTGGGATTTATAAGCAACCTCCATTTTTTTGTGAACAGTCAATATTTATCTCACAGTCTCTTGCTTGTATTTTCCTTACAAAGCACTCGAAAGAAACAAATGGCCATCAAACTGTAAAAGCAACTTGTATTTCCAGATAGAGTTGTTCAAGCTTTTGATTAGAACATTATTAAGTGATTAAAATGTTTGCCATAATTTATTCATGTGTTATTTACTTGCAAAGAGGAATGAATGCACTTTAATAATTAGACATTGTAGGCATGAAAGTAACAGTGATACAGACAATTTTTGAGAAAGCAAGCCCCAGTAAATCCATCCTGTGGCCTAAGTAACATCTTGTGGATAGAGCTGAGGTATTGCAGGGATCCCATCTTCATGGTCTTTCCTCAGTGTCTTAAAGATTTGGTTACATGCTAGTGTCATAGCACAACATCTTCCTGTGGCAGGTTATCATCACATGGAAGAGATTATCTTCTAAAAGTTCTGTTTTATCCTATGTGGTGTACGGAATCCTAAAAAACTTCCCATGCAGTGTTATGAGATGTCTACGCTAGTTTGAATGTCTTCTGTCAGATCTGGAGCTCCTGTTCAGGCTGTCTGTCAAACAACTATCCTTCTTGTTACCCTTCCTTGTTCTTTCCAACAAGAACCAGGAATTCTTCTTCTGCAGAGAATTGCTCTTCCTGAACTATTTCTCTTTTACCAGAGCAAGGTTGGCGGGCATGAGTTCCCTCTGCTATTTGTTTGGCTCACAGCACTCTCTAGTTTCCAGCTTGAATGTGGACAAGTACACAGGTAGGCTCCTCAGTTGCTGCTCTAGCTGTCAGCTCGTCAACTTGAAGGAGCTCTGGGTCAGCCTTCTGCCTTCTGTCTAGTCTCAGCAAACTGCGTGCTACCCCCTTAGCCTTCAGCCCTCATGTTAGAGGTCCTTTTGTATATCATCCCTCAGTCCTCATCCAATTCTCTAATGGAGTCAAACCAAAAGGTATCTCTTCTTTCTCAGAGGAGATGGATCCACTTCCCATCTATCCAAAGACATAAGCAAATACAGGGTGCAGAAACGTGAAGACTTTAAAAGCAGTCGTTACATTGAAGATCATGACATAAAAGATGCAGGAGTCTTATTGGTTAAGAGATTAGAGGTGACCAAATAATTTGATACAGCCAATGCACTTGAAGCTTTCACAGCAGGAGGTGTCATGTTACTGCTAACCCTACTTGTAGCTCCTTGTATATAACATTTCTGATACCTTACAGTATTGCATCTCATTCTGGAGCAGGGAGTTCACAGGCTCCTCAGGAAGCCATCCTATTGGAGCAGGTGCTGTGCAGGAATGGCTTAAAGTGAGGATGGGGGAAAGCAGGTCCATGCATTTTGAGCTGTGTCCACCTCTACTGCAATTCAGGAGTTAAGTTACTTTGATTTCTGAATAGTGCCGACAAATAACATTAGCCCAGAACAGGTACTGTGATAAATTTTGCCAGGTAAGCATGGCCTTTGTTTTCCTGAATGCTGTTATCTTTGGGTGCCTCTCAGGAAGCACCTTAGTGTTTGCATAGGATGCGTTCCTTAGCTCATGTATTTCTGCCAATGATAGCTTTTTGTTTAGGAGAGTAGATCAAACTTTGTTGCATTTTGCCAAAGTGGATATGCACCAACACTTATTTACATAATCAAATAAAAAGAAGTTATTGTAGCGTTAGAAAAAATGAATTGCCTAATCAAATCCTTTTAAAGTCTCTCTAGTTGACCCCTCAAATCACTAGCTATTCTTCAAACAGTTGCAGTCAATGTAGTTAAAGCATCGCAAAATAAGGAAATTATAACATCAAAAGACAAACAAGATGACACAATGGAATGGAACGTTGACAGTAATCAAGAAAAGCTCTATTCGAGGAAGAGCTTAATCTTGAATATATATCTCTATAATACAAAAAGAAGTGCAAGAATGAATTCACGTAACTAAATAAAGTGGGCATGGGCTGGCTGCAGAAATACACAAAGTCTGAATTTGGGGGGACAGATGAGACCCATGTTGGAGGTGCTGGGGACCAATTTTAAACTTCGAACAGTATTCTAAGACAGACCCCAGATACTATTTCCTGGTACCAAAACATCAAGCTTGACTCTATATGTTACATATAACATTTAACTTCAGTTAGGCAAAATTTCTAACTGGTGTCAAGTACAACTTTTTTACTTTGTTACTGTTTACTTGGAAGAGACCATTACTGATATTTATAACAGGCTGCTGCAGGTGTTTGTGAGGATTTTTACAGATAAATAAATAAAAGGAAAAAATTACCTACCATAACCACCACTGCACATCAAGAAAGAAAACATAGTAACTGTAATTAATGTTCACATAAGGTGTTTTTTTTCCTTGGATATTTGCCCTGACTTCCAAAAGATCCCACAGAGTCATGCCTTAACCATGCGGTATGCTGAAGAGTTGTGGAGGATTGAGTTAATACCTGAGATGAGTGAGGGTAGAGGGGAGAGAGTCGTAGTCTTCCAACGTCAGGTGAAACAGTAAGCTTTGCATATGTCAGCACAGAAACGAGGTACTTGACATTGCATAGAAGTTCAGAAAGTGACTGTCTTGCTGCTTTACCTTTTTGAATCCTTTGAACTTGGATCCCTC